AGCAGCAGCAGCAGCAGCAGCAGGGTTGTCTCCGTCTTCTTTCTCCTCTTCTTCCTCCCAGCTGGTTGCTGCGCTGCACCCAAACTGCTGCTTGCGGCTTGATGCTTCTTCTTTTCTTTTCTGCATCATTGCTGCTGTTACGACACCAATGGACCTCCTCTGCTGCTGCTGCTGCTGCTGCTGCAGCTGTTGCTGCAGCTGTCGCTGCTGCTGCTGCTGCAGCTGTCGCTGCTGCTGTTGTTGCTGCTGCTGCTGCTGCTGCTGCTGCTGTTGGTTGCTGTTTACTCTGATTGTTCTTTTTCCATTTCTAGCGCGGTGTATAGACAGCAGCAGCAACCGGCAGCGCAGCAGCAGCAGCACTCTGCGGCGGCGCGAAGCAAACTGCAGCAAACGGCGCGTTCTCTGTAGCCTCCGCAGCAGCGGCATCATGGCTTGCATGCTGCTGCTGCTGCTGCTGCTGTTGCTGCTGCTGTTGCTGCTGCTGCTGCTTCTGCTGCTGCTGCTGCTGCTGCTGCAGTCGCTCCACTCCTCCTCACTGGTGCTGAGCTCAGCAGCAGAATCTGCGTGGCCGATGCTGCTTTCGTCATCTGTGTCAAGCATATTTTGTATCGGTTGCTGCTGCTGCTGCTGCTGCTGCAGCAGCAGCTGCTGCTGCTGCTGCTTGAGGGTTTTATTCTGCTGCAGCAGCTGCTGCAGCTGCCGCTCTGCCTGCGAAGGTATTTTTGCGTAGAAAAGGAGATAGGCCTCCTGCTGCAGTCGCTGCAGCACAGCTGTCTCGCTAACGAGAGAGACAATCTCATCATCTATAGCAATCCAGTCTCCTCTCCCCCCCCCTGCTGCTGCTGCTGCTGCTGCTGTTCCTGCTGCTGCTGCTGCTGCTGGGGTGTCTGCTGTGGGGGCCCTCACAAACGCCCGGTAGTGCCCAGAAGACAGCGAACTGCCAGAGTGAGTAATAACAGCATAGAGGCGGTACATAAAAGAAGGAGAAATTGCTGCTGCTGCTGCTGCTGCTCCTGCTGCTGCTGCTGCTGCTGCTGCTGCTCCTGCTGCTGCTGCTGCTGCTGCTGCTGCTCCTGCTGCTGCTGCTGCTGGAGCTTGTGCTGCTGCCTGTGAAGAATCGCCGGCGGTGTTGTTGCGGGTGTGTCCGTGCTTTGCTGCTGCGTCGGCTGTTGTTCCCGCTGCTGCTGCTGCTGCTGCTGCTGTTGTTGTTGCTGCAGCAGCAGCAGCAGCAGCAGCAGCAGCAAGCCTGCGAGAGGAAACAGAAGGGCTAGGAGAATGAGGGGGAGAAGAGCAGGGAGAAGAAGCCGTCGTTGATGCAGCCGGAGAAGTTTTTTTGTCTGCTGCAGTTTGCTGTTTGTGTATATGTTGTTGCTGCTGCTGCTGCTGCTGTATATGTTGCTGCTGCTGCTGTATATGTTGCTGCAGTTGCAGGAGTTGTTGCTGCTGTTGCTGCTGGTATTCAATCTGCTGCTGCAGCAGCTTCTGCTGCAGCAGCACAGCATCTTTTGGCATGAATGGCAGCAAATTAAGGAGAGAAGAAAAGGAGACAGGTCGATTGTTTTTTATAGGAAAAGCACAACCACCATAAAGAGACAAAGAAAAACGTTTCAGAGACAAAGCCAGGATCTGTGGGGCTGTAAACAACTCCAGCTGCTTCGTAGCTTTCACTTTCTGCTGGCATTTGCTGCACCTACAAACCACACAAACATACACAAATATAAAAAAAATATACACACAATATACACACAACACACATGCAAAATCCTACGAAAATTGCATGCAAAACGCATGCAAATTTCTATGCAAATTGCATGCAAAATGCATGCAAATTTGTATGAAAATTGCATGCAAAATGCATGCAAATTTGTATGAAATTTGCATGCAAAATGCATGCAAATTTGTATGAAATTTGCATGCAAAATGCATGCAAATTTGTATGAAAATTGCATGCAAAATGCATGCAAATTTGTATGAAACTTGCATGCAAAATGCATGCAAATTTGTATGAAATTTGCATGCAAAATGCATGCAAACATCTAAAAAAAGAAAAGTATTAACAGGCAAATATAGCAATAGCACAAAATATAGAAAATAAAAAAAATAAAAATAAGCAAAAACAAAATAAATAAATGAAAACAGCAAACGAATAAATAAAAACAACAGACAAACAGACAAACAAACAAACAACAAACAAACAAACACAAAAAAGGTTCTAGGGTTTAGGGTTTAGGGTTTACATATATGCGTTGCTGCCGCTGAGGGTTTCCTTTGCTATGAATCTGCTGAGTGCCTTTTCTATGCTGTATGCATGCTGATGGGGGCCCCCC